TTTTTTGGTATTTTCATGCAAATTCTTCTGCTAGTTGGGGTTTAGTCCACTTGTATATCCTTGCCTTCAAGGCTCAGGGATCCAGGATTATCTTCTGTGTCTGTGTTAATTGGTTTCCCTTTTCTTTGTTGAAGAGGGTCTGTGCAGTATTTCTGCCTAGTCCCCCACCCCCTCCTCTTTGGGGATGACCCACAGCTAATGATAATGTGGGAGTGCAAAGGCCCAGTCACATTGCCTCCAGGAGGGACCATTCAGATTCTAGAACTGCTTATGGGCTCAGCTGAGAATAGAATTCAATTCAAGTCACATCTTGCCTTAGCTTCTCCTACTATCATCCTCCCCTCCATTTCTTACAAGTTTCCCCTGAGAGCACTCTCTGAATAAATAATTGCATGAGAATTCTTGTCTCAGGATCTGCTTATGGAACCCAATTTAAGACACCCAGCTTAGTGTGATACTCCCTTAAATACAGCCTTCATTACAATGAGTTAAAAACCTGATGGACCACATTACTTGTGGAAGGGTACTCAACCCCTCATATAAAATGATGTGGAAGAAATATATCGAGGACTGCTAGCCTGAAAACAAGGAGCTCTGTGGTGTAGTGGTGAAGGCATTTGGCTGCTATCCAAAAGGTTGATAGTTCAAACCCACTAGCTGCTCCATGGAAGAAAGATGAGGCAGTGTGCTTGTGTAAACATTTCAAGCCTTGGAAACCCAATGGAGATCATGATGAGTTAGAACTGAGTGAATGACAGTGTTTTCTTTTCTTTTCTTTTCTTTTTTAAGAATCTAAAGTCAACAACTGTGCAAGAAAATTAATAAATAGCAGCAAAACATTTAAAAAGGCTTAGTATTTCAGTGGACAGTAAACTCATTAAGAGCTGATCATGACACCATGGTGACCATTCATGCTGTGTGAAAAATATTTTGAAGGGTACTGATACTGAACTTGCAATGTTGTCTTAGATTGGGTTCCCGCATGAGCAGGTTAACAAACAGGGTTTTGAGAACAAGTTTACTTGGAAGATAATCCCAAGAAACTCTTTAGGAGATTTGGGAAGTGATGCAGAAAAGGGAGGTGGGGAAAGAAGCTAATATAGAGTGGATTAAAGAGCAAATTGGAATCCCTAAGTGGTAGAAATGACTAATGCACTCAGCTACTAACTAGGGAGCTCTGGTGTCATTGTGGCTAAGGCATTTGGCTGCTAATCAGATGGTTGGTGTTTCAATGCCACCAGCTGCTCCATGGGAGGAAGATGGGGCAATCTACTCCAGTTAAGAGTTATAGGTTTGGAAACACAATGGGAGTCACAACGAGTTGGATTGGGTTTTACTAGCTGAAAGGTAGGAGACTTGAGTCACCCAGACGAACCTTTGAGGGGGGGGGGGGAAATAAAAAAGGACCCATTGAGAACCCCATGGAGTATAGTTCTCCAACACATATTAACTGGTAACTTGTGGTAGTGAACAGGTTACTCTATTCCTCTGAGGGCTTCTGGAAAACACCCTTCTCCCTGGAGGAGAAACCAGCATTTATACACAAACTCCCATCGATTGGTTCAAGGCTGCTTCTGAGGCTGTAACTGCCCTACATTGGCCTGTCCAGAGCTTGCTCCTGCATCTAGAGAAAGTCCTTAGGCAGAGCCCAGCTGCTTGTGATAAGAAAGCATCTTTCTGTACCAGAATGGAGAGCACTGAGCAAATAAAAGTGGGACCCCTGAAGTCATCTACTATAAACTACTTTTCCTTCAGAGAAGACCAGCAGAACAATTGATGTCTGAGAATGACAGTTCAAGGAGGAAAAATAATGAGACACCATGCACTTTTATTTCTATGACTGGAAAGTTATGATTTATTTAAGAGGCAGGAGAAAATCTGGCAGGGAACAAATATTGTAATTGGGGTGACATGTTAGTTAGCAGATTTTAGAGGAAATTCATAGTTTGTGTTGATTTGGGAGAGAGAGAGTAACAAGAGGGAGGCAGTGTATTTGGAGGCCAAACTCAGTCTAAGAATGAGTGGCACTGAGGTTTCACAGTGGGCTGCACATGATTCAGCTCACAGGTGGACGACAAGAAGATTGTTGATGAAAA